TGTCTTGCATGTCTTGCCTTACAACACACCATCTTTTGACAGACCCTGCACAATCAGTTTGCTGACGACTTCACTTAGGGCCTAAGTGTATTTTTTTCTTCACTTAGGAACCTCCCCACAAGGCACCTTCAAACTTTTCACCTCCAGCAAGCTCACAGAGAAACCATGGTAAGTAGGCCCAGGGAGAAAAAGAGCCACGTACAAATGGACATGCAGTGGTGGTGCAGCTTGTTCCTGCAGCCGTCCTCACACACGGTCAGGCTTTCTTCATCGAGCATGCCCAACAAGCAAATAGGGCACATCTGCTCTTCCTCATCTTTGATACTACAGGGAAGGAAACAAAGCACTAAGCACACAGTAGACACACATGGGAATTCATGCCCTGCAGGGGGGGAAAAATTCCCGCTTGCTTATAATATGTACAAATTAACCAAAACCTTTAAATATTTGAGAGATGCTTCTTTTCCTATAACAATATTCAGCAATTTTACTTATTCATCCATTCATTCTATAGTAATTCTAGATGAGACTTAATTTCCCTGTGTATTTACAGATTATGGGTATGAGCTAACCTGTTCTTACTATGAATACAATTCAATAGTGAGCTATTTATCTTATGCTTATAGGAGATATAAGGTATTGCAAAAGGTTTTTCTGTTACCAATTGCCCCTATGAACAACTGCCTCCTCTGTCAGAACTGGATGGTTCCTGGCTATCATTAATGAACACTTTGCTGACAGATTCCATAGAAGACTCCTGATCAAGAGGGCAGAAATGTAGAAATTATCACAGACCTTAGTTTCTAGAAGCATGGAGAGTAGAAGATGAACCCCGAAATTACTGCCCTGAGATAATCATTACTAATGGGATCTTATCTTGCACCATTTTGTTTAATTAATTTTACAGTTTTAGATCATCTGACTGACAAACATTCAATGGACGGGCCCCATCTGGCACCGACAGTGGCAGAGGAAAGCAGGTTCTTGCCCACAGACAGTGCTCGTGGGTTTCCACAAGCAAATCTGCGAAGGGAATTTGCTAGTTTTTCTTCATATATTAAATGTGTAGAGCTGTTAACTAAAAATTCTATTTCTACAATGGTTTCTTACATAAATATCTAAAATTTAAAAACTGAAAATTATAGTATGTAATTTTCAAACAACAATATTAGAGACATACTGAATGCTATATAAAAGCAAGTGCAAAATAAATTGTGGTACATCAACACAATTTTATATAGTCATGTAAAGAAAGGAACCTGTCTTTTGGTGTTTCCTTAGGAAAATATTTTTCACACATTACATTTTAAAACCCCATCGAGTCACAGATCAAAATATGGCAAGGCTCCCTGCTTGTTTGAAAATCTCAAGAATGATAAAATGTGTGCAGAAAGTTTTATTTTGTTGCTTGATATAATTTTTTTAAATGTTATCAAAACTACTAAAAGTAGTATTCTTTGTGGGGGCTTTTATACTCTTTTCGCAGGTTTTGTTTGTTTGAGCTTTCATCTGAGATGAATGGCTTTCTAGGCCATCAACAGTACTAAAGCACAAGACCAGCCCTGTGATGTCACACAGCATGCCCAGCATCATAAAAATCAGCTTGTGGCAGCTCTACTGACTTCAGCGTTTGAGAAGACATAGTCCATAGCCTCCCTACCCTTACCAAGCCCAGACTCTCGCCTGAGCCCACGCTCCCACAGGGCACAGTGCTGCAATTTACCATTCAGTTAAAATTCCTGACAAACAGGTCTGAGGGACTGCCGGCAGAAGAACCAGTTTTTCCAGTGCACACAACACTCTCCAGCAGAGCTGACAAACAGGTCAGCAAAGCCATATAATGCTGATTCTGAGGGAGGCACGTACTAGGGTCTCTCCCTCCCAGCTTTTAGCAGCCTCTTTTATTTACAGCACGAAACTGTGTGGAGTGGGGGAAAACTGGCAAAATATGCAGGCATCAATAGGGAAACTGACAGTAACAATTTGTACAATAATGTACAATAAAAACATTGATGACAGAAATGCTCAGGCTTTTAGTGTGAGTTCTGCTAAGAGGGAAGGCAAAGACGTTTTCTAATGTCCCAAACAACCCAGAACACGCTACCATTCTAGAATGCATTCATTTTTTTGGCGGGGGGTGGTGGGGAGAAGAGAAGAGGAGCTGATACCAAGGGCTCAAGTAGAAAGAAAATGTTTTGGAAATGTTGATGGCAACATATGTACAAGTGTGTTTAATGAAACTGAAGGATTGATTGTCACAAGATTTTTAAGAGGCTCCAATAAAATGGTTAATAATACAAAAAATTTAAGAACTCTTAAAAATTAAACTAAAAAGATTCACACATGAATAAGCCTCTCCTGCTTTCTCTCCTCATGCCGTCCCTGTTTGGGTATTATCAGGTCTCTCATCGTCATGCATTTTGAGAGTTATAAAAATTAAAACATCAATGGGCTGAAAATGGAACTTAGTCCTTAAACCAGTGCCTCTTAAACATGGGGAACATCCCAGGAGGAGCCCTTTTAGACAAACCACTCTCCTTCCTGGATGCCAACCTTCCTGTTGGCAGTCCTCATTTTGAGATAGAAACCAATCAAACAAGTACTACAAGAGAGAAAGACAATGCATGGGTTTTGATTATCATACTAGAGACTTGAATTTTTCTTCTGCCATTACAGGTTACCTCTCAGATCCCTCAGAGTTATAAATCCATTCTTATTAGTAAGTAAGCAGTGCAAACGTTAGAGAAGCCCGTATGCACTAGGCAATTAATATGATTAACGGCAAAAGGACCTCTAATTACCACTGATGAAGACTACTTGTTTAAATGAGAATGCTTAAATCTTACAGGTATGGCAGCCTGTGGTGAGAACTCCCTGACAGATGCAGCACTGTCACTCAGTATAAAAACCTACACTAAAAAGTGACTTCTGAAACTGCATCACTTTCTCGAAGTATAGTAACCATGGACATCGCCTTCCATTGCACGAAGCTTCAGTTTCCTTACTTACAGAGCAGTGAGAAGGCCTACCCAAGGAAGATGCTCTCAGAACAGCAGCAGACAACACAGCAGGTGCCTGCCACATAGTAAAGACTGAAAATTGGCAGCCACTTATTACGACCAGGGATTTTTTTTATCCTCATGACTTGACTTTTTCTTATGAATTATGGTAAAAATAGGCATTCAGTATCTTCTCACATTAAATGTAACTTTCAGGATAAAATCATCATATTTATTCTCAGGTGATCTTTAATATTCTGCACCTTTTTAACTAGAAAAGCAAGATCCAACAATTAAATAATTTTATTTAAAAACACCCCTGCATAAAAAAGCAACACTGGATTACTGCTTTAATTCCTTAAGAAGTACTAACCTGTTTTCTGAACTAGATGTAGAAGTACTAGATGATGACAATGTATGAGAATTTGACATGCGAGAAACAAACTTCTGGATGGTGTTACGGGATGGAGCTTTGATCCTTGAGCTACGCCTACTGTGATACTTCTGGAACAGACTCTCCACCTGACATCGAGAAAAGACAGGAACAGTGACACCCGTGCCACATTTACACCTAGGAAAGCGTGTTAGGGGCTGGATTTATCGGTTTCCACCAAGCTTATATAACTGCTTCAAAAAATATCATACAGCTTATTAATGGTCAACATTTTTATTACAGGAAGACTTTCATTTTTATTTTGTTTCTAGTTTAGAATAAAAATTTGGCTAGCCAATGGATCAGAAGAGAACTATTTATAACCACGGAATTCTTACATGCCTCCATGCCTTGAAAATGACCATTCATTTATTTAAATATAGAGTGCATGGCAAATTTCCAGGAATAAATGAAAATGTGTTGGCAATTTAATGATAAAGCACTTGTATATATATTAAAAAATACCTCAAAATTCTTCAATGTTTTTCTCCACAACATTGGATCTGAAGGTTCTAGTTGAAACACCCGGAGCATAACAAATAACAGATGAATACAAAATGTTCCACGTCCACAGCTGCAGTTCTAAAAGGCAAAGAGAGAAGCTTTGGTTAAATAAATCCGTGGCTCTACCAGAACTTCGATTCACCACATCCGTGTGCCTCCTAGTCTAAGATGACAAATCTTCTATTAAGTTAAATCTTTTAGTATCCTTAATAAGGCAAAAAGTCTAGTCGTATCCATGAGTTAGTCTTATTTTCATGGAATTGATTCAATTTGTATTCTAAAGTATATCACATCATAGTAAGAATCTATAAACTGTATCAAATGAAATTTTTTCTTGCAATTCCATTGTGAACCCACTGGTGGCACCGTGGGTGACGTGGTAGGCTGCTAGCCACCAGCAGCTCCACAGGAAAAAGATGAGTTTTTTGCTCCCTTAAATATTTACAGCTTTGAAAACCCGAAGGGGCAGGTCTACTCGGTTCTATGTGATCAATATGAGTCAGAATTGACTAAATGGCAGCGAGTTTCTCTAAGTAATTAATTGAGCTAAATTTTAGAAAGATGTAGTGTAGAAATGTTTGTTAGTAATAGCTACTACACCAACATTAAAAAAAAAAAAGCTCAAAACTGGACCAGTAAGTAACACCATAAAAGCAAAAAAAGACTGAAGTTGTCAAGGAGTTAACTTTACTTGTCATGATCAATGTTCAAGGAAACAGCCGTCAAGAAGTCAAATGACTTATTATACTGGGGCAAATCTGCTGCGAAAGACTTCTAAAGTGATAAAAAGCAAAGATGTCGCTTTAAGGATTAAGATACTGTCTAATTCAAGTCATCATGCTTGGTAAAGTAGAGGGACAGTGAAAATGAGGAGAAAGAGATGGAGTGAATCAGTGGCATACTGACGGGCACAAACATAAGAACAATTGAAGGATGGCGCCGGACCGGGAAGAGTTTCATCCTGTGGTGCGCAGGGTCACCATGAATTGGAACCGACTAGAGACACCGAACAACACAATGCAGGTCATACTTTCAATAGCTTCACATGCATGCAAAACCTGGACAATAAAGACCAAAGAATTGGTGCATCTGAATTGTGGTGTTGGCAAAGAACACAGAATACACCATTGACTACCAGGAGAATGAACGAATGTGTGCTGGAAGTACAGTCAGAATGCTCCTTAGAAGCAAGGATGGTGAGACTTTTGATTGACACTTGGCACGTTATCAAGAGAGACGCGTCTCTGGAGAAAGACACCATGCTTGGTAAAGCAGAGCATCAGCAAAAAGGAGGATGACCCACAGTGAGACGGACTGACACCGTGGCTGCAACAATCGGCTCAAACACAGCAACAATTATGAGGACGATACACGCTTAGGCAGCGTTTTCTTCTGTTGAACAAAAGGGTGCTGCCATGAGTCAGAACCAACTTGAGGGCACCTACCAATAGCAACAAGCAGACACTTGTGAAAAACTTTAAAACCCTACCTGAGGCCCAATAAACACTCGGTATTTATTGTCTGGGCTGTCCCCTCCGATCAGGAAAGAGTTGGGGCCTATTTGCTGCAGTAAGTAGAGGCGGGCCCGCATCACTTTGCTTACACGGCGGTTGGTTTCTTCAGGACTGTAGGGCGAAAAGCCATCTGGCGAAGGGGCTCTTCGGGGTGGTGTGATTCTTCCGCTCTGAAACTTTAAAACATTCGTATTTCTAAAATGAGATGAATTTCTCACTTGTACATGACAGAATTTCACACACCTGCCACCCCGTGCCCCAAAGAAACACTGGATAGCTATATAATAGATGGTATGCTGCAGAAATGACTCATTACATACGGTATAGATAAAATTGGGCAAAGTGTTTTTGCGTGATCTCACTCTTCACTATAAATTGTTGCTAAATCTTTGGCTGAGAAGACACACCATGTGGCAACTTAAAACATTATTCTATAAACATGCGAGTTCCTTGAAAAGCATTGTATAAACCAAAATGAAAAGCTTTAAAAATAGATGTATCACAAGCAAGCAGAATGACTCGTGTCTGATGGTAAAAACGACACACCCGGTTCCTGGTTTTTCACTGCATATGTGTGTGCCTGTAACTCAATGCAAGCACAGACTCCTGGAGTTCCTGCCCTGGTGCACTCTGCAGAGAATGCGCACGCAGATCTGGGGCTGCGAAAGGGAGGAGGAGCATTCTAATAGCCTTGTCGGGTCATTACAAACACTCTTTAGTATTACACCAAATCTTGACAAGTGGTTTCCTAAAGGCAGTAGCAATTTGGAATCTGAAACCGTATCAACTATTTTTCCTCCTCTGTTATCAAAATCCAGGTGGTATATTTTGCCCTTTCAATTTATCTGTGCATAAATGCATCCCTATGCACTGGATCGCTGACTGATGCGCATGTTCCAAATGTTGACATACTTCAGTGTAGAAAAACAAAACAAAAAACCGCACATTTGATACCACCACCAATTTCAACAGAAAAATCTAAGTATTTTTCTATTGTATTCAAGCATTCAACATACATATACATTTTCCAAAAATTGTACTCAGCCAGCAATTTTCCATTTTATCAACAGGGAAAACTCCTGTGCCTTGTTAACCTTGGAATGACAGTCTCAAATCATTTCCAGGAAAGATGTTCTTTCAGATAAAAATTTTACTCCATGAAGAAGCAACTAGTTCAGTTTGTAACTCTAACAATCACACCAATGCTTTTCCTTGTGATGGCTGGTGTACTTGGTATGGACCAGAATGCTTTAAGCAGGCTTCCCGTTTCAACACAAAGATATTCAATAAGGTAGGTATCAAGACCAGTCCCTGGAGAAGGTAAAACAGAGGGTCAACAAAAAGGAGAATGGCCCTCAGCGAGCTGGACTGACGCAGTGGTGGCAGCAATGGGCTTCCACATGGCACTAGGTGTGAGGCGGGCGCAGGACCAGGCAGCGTTTCGTTCCGTTGTACACAGGGTCACTGTGAGCTGGAACCAAACCGACTGCACCGAATAGCAAGTTCCTGCTGCTTCCTCAAAGGCATGCTTTTTAAAAAAGATCGTTTTATTGGGGGCTCTTACAACAATACATATATCGATTGTATCAAGTATATTTCTACATATATTGCCATCATTATTTCCTAAACATTTACTTATTAAGCCCTTGGTATCAATTCCTCTTTTTTCCCTCCCCACTACCTTGTGACTCCTTGATAAATTATAAATTATTATTTTCATATCTTACACTGACCACTGTCTCCCTCCCTTTCCCCAGTTTCTTTTGTTCGTCCCCCTTGGTGTGTGCATGTGTGTGTGTGTGTGTGTGTAGGGGGGGAGGGTTTGGTGGTTATGTGTTGATTATTGTGATTGGTTCCCCCTTCCTCCCTTCCTCTACCCAATCCCTGTTAAAGATTTAACACCTTTAACACCTCCCCCCTACCCTCCTGGTATTGCTACTCCCATTTCTGTTCCTTGAGGGGTTTATCTGACCTGTATTCCCTGTGTCATGAGCTCTTATCTGTACCTGTGCACATGCTCCGGTCTAGCCCTCAGTGAAAGGAGGTAGTGGGGTCACGATACTCGCAGGGTGAGGAAGCCTCAAGGAACCAGAGGAATACTGTTTGTTTCCTTGGTGCTATACTACGCCCTGATTGACTCATCCCTTCTTTGTAACCCTTGTGTGAGGGATGTCCCATTGTCTACAAATGGGTTTTGGGCCTCTACTCCGACCTGCTTGTTCTCAACAATGTCTTTTGTTTGTCTCAAAGGCATTCTTAAGTGAAACTGGTTTGCTTCGGTTCTTTAACAGCCAATACATGATAGGGAAGAACACAATTTTGAATGTCAGTAAACAAAAGGCAGACATTTCTGCTTTGTGGACCTTCAGAAATGGCCTCAGGTTGTCCTAACCCCGGGACCAGAGTTCTTCTAATTGATAGCTGGCCAGTCCTTGATGCTTTATAAAGAGTGAAAACTGCCAACATTTGTTGGGGCAGAACTTACAGGAACTGGGGAGACTCTCTTTCTCCGCACTCCGGGTGATTCCGACTTGACTGAGCGGCCTGACGGGGAGCTGCCAGGAGAAGGGCTGCGACGGCCTTTGGGGGCTGGTGACGTGGCACTTGCCTGGCCCTCTGTGTGGGGCTCGGCTGCCGAGCCACTAATTTCAGATCCATCTCCTTTAGCAGGGAGCGGTTTAACCACCTGCACCAAAATATCCCAACGTTCCAATTACTTAAAAATACACACGAAAAGTAAGTTAGAGCACAACAGACTAAGAAATGAGCTCAATACATTTTTATTATGAACTACTATAAAAATAAACTGGATAATATATCAACTTTCACCTGGTCCAGGTGCATTGGCTGTAACACTAACAGGTTATCATTTATAATTTTATAATTGGCATTATATTTTATAAGACAATGTGCACCATTTTTTCTTTCAAAATCAACTAATGTTAGAAAACAAATGTGAAAAACAAGTACTATGATGTTTACAGTTAATGTACCCGTATACACTCATGTATAAGCCAAGTTTTTTCAGCATATTTTTAATGCAGTTTTTGTGGTAAAATTAGGTGCCTTGGCTGGTATTCGGGTCGATTTATACGTGAGTATAGATGGCACTCAAATAGATAAAAGTAGGTGCTTTCTTTGTCACCTATAATTAAAAAAAGCATAACCTTAGAGAAAAAATAGCATAATTTCAAATGCTCAGAAATAGCCCAATCGATGAATACGATGTCATTTTGGTTTTCCTCAATATTTCATTACAATAGATAGTATACACATGTACTGCAGAAACAACAAAATGAGGTCAGAAGTTTAAAAACCAATGTGCCACTCTTCAGTGCTGTTGTTTAATAATAAGGGCTCTTAGACCTAATCCAACCATGACCCAGAGTTTGCAGTCAGAGCTCAGGAGAGCGCCCCACTGCCCCCGACCTGCTACTCTTGCTCTGTAGTCGATTTACCACCACAAGCCGCTTTGCGCTATTTTGTGTGTTACTTTCATTTTATTTATTTTGCCGAAACTTTCCCCACCCAGAGCGATCTCTGTTTAGCTTAAGTTTTGAGAACCATTTGGGCATTGGCTACAGAGAACATGATAAAAAACAAACATACAGACAAGAAAATTAAGACTTCCCAGGTAGCCTGTACACTTCTGAATGACAATAGAGAATCTGTGAACTGTAAAATGCCAGGCCGTGCACGTGTCTTCCTGCATTCGGCTTTTACCTCGCCACCCTGCCCTGCGTAGGGGTTAGACGCCAGCACTTGCACTGTGAGTATACCAGGAATCACACAGAAACAAAACACCTGGTCCTAAATAACTGGGAGCCCAGAGAGCAGCACGGACTTCAGAGGGCTTTACTGTTCACAACTTCTCCTTCCTCTGGATAACAAAGGAATTTGTCTCATGGAGTGACTGTCACTTTCTATAAGCGGTTTCAACAGAAACATCTTTCTAAATTAGAGAGAAAAATCAAAACCCCAAACCAAACTCACGGCCACTGAGTCCATTCTGACTCACAGTGACTCTATAGCACAGGGCAGAACTGCCCTGCAGGCTTCTGGATCGTAATTCTGGCGGAAACAGAGAACCTTATCTTCTTCCGAGGAGAGGCTAGTGGTTTCCAACTGCTGACCCTGAGATTAACAGCCTAATGTATCTTCACTATGCCACCGGGTTCCTTAAATTAGCAAAGGATTTTAGATACTGACAACAGAGGGCAGTGCTGCTTTACCCATTAACCCCGCTGGTTAGCTCCCTGGATCATCAGCTCTGCTTCCCGGGATCTAATGCACGTTAACTATGTTTGAATACGAGGGGCCAGCATGTGGAGCAACTGAAAGGGCTGCATGTACAACGAAGAGACACCTGTGGGGATGGCTGTGCACACACTCCTCTGCTGGGACCCCAGCCACTCACCACAGGGCCTCTCCGGTTTCTCCTTTCCAGCCACTCATGCTTCCAGGCGGGCATGCAGGTGGCCTTCAGCTTCTCCCTGATCATTCGTTCCTCTGGGCGGTCCTCCATCTTGTGCAACCCCTTGAGAGTTTCTTTAGTCTCCATCTCCCGACTGAAATGAGGGGGGGAAAGGGAGAGACAATTTATATATGAAAAACAATTTCCAAGAACAGAATGCTTTTATCTCACTTTTCCATCCGACACGAACTAAAAAGAAAGTTGCCAAATGCCTGCCTATCAACTGATGTGTGCTGTATCACATCGCCGGCAGAGCAATGCAACTCCGACACACGTTACCACACAGCTGAACCCTGAAAACATCCTGCTGAGATACGCCAGACACAAAAGGCTAGTATGTTGACCCACTTACATGAAATACAAACAATGTGCACTGAGAGAGACTTCCTCAACCCCAGTCGGCATCAGTCTCTGTCGCGGAGGCTTGAGCACTGTAGCACTTCCTGCTCAAGGCAGGCTAGAGAGGTAGACCTGGCTATCTACTTCTGGAGATCGGCCAGTGAGAACCCAATGTACCCCACCCCCACAGTCCAGTCACTGGGCTGACACCGGGTCAAGCAACATTTTGTTCTGTTGTGTGTCGTGTTACCATGAGTAAGGGGGCCAACTTCCCTGAAGCTGATAATGTCAACCCTGGCCCAGGGAAGAAAGGAATGGCAAAAAAAAATTTTTTTAATCCCCAAATTAGCAAATTTAAGGCTGAGAATGTGAATTAAGATATTCTACTGCTGAATTGTACACATGGAAAGTGCTGCCTGATTCCACGAGTTTAATGTCTTAAAAGGAAAGGTTCACCTTAGCAGGGGCAGGACTTGCAAGCAATATGAATGATGCACGTAGTTTGTGAGCAACCATGAAGCTAACAGGTGAAGACTGGAGCCCCCCCCCCAATGCTCAGGTGGCAGGGAAGATCTAAACTTGGTTCTGCTGATGACTGCACAACTTCTAAATATACCTGCGGAATTGTATGGTATGTGAAATATGTCTATGAAACTGTTAAAAATAATAAAGTATTACAAAGCAAAAATAAATGAATAAAAGATTGTAGCAAAGTAAACTCTATGGAGCAGCTCTACTTTGTAACATGTAAGGTTATCAGGAGACCCCAGGTAGTTAACAAACTGGATCGTTAACTTTCCTCCAGGTAGTTAACAAACTGGATCGTAGGACGTTAAAAAACAGCATTAGTAAGAACACTAATGGATATGACATTGTTCTAATTTTATCTGGGAGAAAAAGGTGACCGTCAGCTTCCATAAAGAATTACAGCCTTGGAAACCCTGGGGAGGGGGAGGGGGACAGTTCTACTCTGCCCCACAGGGTCACTATGGGTCAGAACCAAGTCAATAGCAATGTGGTTTCTGTTATTATTGCTTTATTTTGTTTTGTTGTTGTTTTAACATGCTGAACCAAGTGGATAGCAATGTGGGTTTTTTGTTATGTTATTTTAACATGCTCAAAAATGTAACAAGTATTTAGAATGGTTTTTACTACTCTCTGTCCTAGCATGGAAGAATGAGGTGGTGGATGACTCCTATAAAGATTTTTGGCCTTGAAGCAAGAAAATGTTTTGGAAATGATGATGGCAACATATGTACAAATGTGCTTGATACAACTGATGTATGGATTATTCTAAGAGCTGTAAGAGCCCCCAATAAAATGATCTGGAAAAAAACTGATGTTTGGCCTTAGAAACCCCAGGGAGAAGCTGTACTCTGTGCTGTAGGGATGCCAGGAGTTGGAACTGAATGTGTGGCAGCGGGTTTGGTTTGGGGTTGGCCCCAGAATTACGAAGAACTTAAGTCACTATAAACAGGATAAAGAGGATATGTTCACTTTCTGAAATGAATTAAGTGAAACTAACCACAACTTGTAGTATTTTTTGCAAAAGCAAGAGCAATTAAATTATATTCTCAGAGAACATTTCATGACACAACACTTGAGGTCCTCCATTTCCAAAATGGAAAAATTATCTGGCACAAATATTCTGAACAATACTCAAGCACTTTGTGGTATTAGCAGAACAAAATCATCTCTAAAATACTAAATTTTCAGAATTAAACAAACTATACACTGGGAGAAGCAACACTTTAAAAAATACTAGTTTCTAAATTGGCATTCTATGATGCTCACCTTCCCGACACAACCGCTGAAGACAAAGCGGGTGAATAAGCAAATGTGGTGAAGAAAGCTGATGGTG